ATGGGCGTGCTGGAACAATTAAAGCAGCTGAGCAAAAAAATATATTCACACAAGCAAATCTCAAAGTCATGCCACCTAGAAACATTAATTGATCGAGCCATTTGAGGTTTATTAAATACAACATAAAAATATTAAATACAACATATTGTCATGATCCATCATCACCTTAAGCTCTAATCCTATTTGAGCTGCCATTAATTACCAACTGAACTACTGGAGATTCAGGGATATTTTATATTTGACCAGGCAGACAATAGAAATTTAAAGTAATCTGGCATCACTACCTACCAATGTGCCTTAGTTATATAAACCTTCTTTCCTCTTGGGCTGGCCTGCCTGGCCAAGACTCTTTTCCAAGCCTTAGATCTTGGATAACAGCTGAGCATTAAATAATTAATACATAATTCACATCAATCTATTGATATAAATAACATTTCTTTATTTTCTTAGGGGGTAATTTAAAAATGAAAATTAAAGCCCAGCAAATGACTTTCAGACAAGACATAACAAAAATATAAAATTTATTGGCTAACGTTTCGTTGTATTGTTCACAACATCTTCAGAGCAATTAAACTTATTTACAAGCGTGCATTATATATATACAAATCAGTTTTTAAACGGTTACATTATTCAAATAAGCGAATAAGAGGAAGGGATGAAAAACAACCTATCATTAAAAATATTAGTAAGTTAAAGATATAATGATTAGTAATTATTAGTAATTAGAGACCTATAGTAAAGCATTAGAATAGGTCAAGAGGAGTTGACCTAATGTTGGCATTTAAAATAGGATTAAGTTTAGATATGAAAAGGCTTTCGCGAATGAGTAAATCCGCTTCAGAAGTAGCAGTGGAAAGGATTTTAAAATCAGAGGGTGAAATTTGATGTTTAGTGGTATGGATATGAGCCAGTATGCCTGACATGGTTGAAACAGAACGTTTCTTTCCAGTCAAAGGTGAAACACCCATATGTTCAGAGATACGCGTGTGTATGTGTCGGCAGGGGCGGATCCAGGATTTTTCGTACGTTAGTCAAAGTTTTCAGATGTACAATCTAGTTTTGCGAGCGTGAATGCGCGAGGCACCTAGGAGGGGGGGAGGGTCTGTCCCCCAGGGTGTCTGTACCCAGGAAATTTTTTTATATTTAAACCTCAGAAACGCCATTTGCAGCACTCTGAAAGCAGCTTCAACAAAAAATTAACCTCATGAATTGGGAGATAATTATAACAATTATCAGTCTCACCGACTCTCACAACTCGCTCCTTAGGGTAATTTAAAAGAGAAGTACTTGCAGAAATGTGATAAGTGTGGAAGATGTTTCATTTTATCAAATTACGGATTGCTAGTATTATGTTTAACTAACTCATGATGGTATTACACTCATTTATGTTGCCTAATAGCCTTGTTGAGTCATTGATCACTTGACTAGTAATCACTACAGTGTCATATTACTCAAATAAACATATATCAACATTAAAGTTTGAACATTCATCAATAAAACCTGACCTTTAGATCCTATGTATGCTGCATTAATGCATTTATATCGGTTATCCTCAATATTAATAGCCTCCTGAGTTCTGACGGTCCTTCAACCGCACAAATATGCAAATTTGTTGTGTAAATCAAAATTCATGGCTAAATCAAGATACGCGTATTTACATATGCGTGGCGTGCATCTTGTTCGCTTATAAATATTGTTATGCTGTCTAAAACGAAATAAAATTTACATATCACATTAAATTTACCTTATTGCACTTCAGAATAAAGATCTCGGCGCCAATACTTCTGCTCAAACAGTCAAACTGTAGTTCGTGCTACTCATAGCGCCTAGCAACTGCTCACTGAATCGAACTCTCCGATATTTAGCGTCGATTTTCCTCCCAAGATCAGCGCAACAGTCTTGTAAGACAGCTAAATCATTCACCGCAAATGCGGATTCAACCGTTTCATGAATACTACAAGGATGGGAGCAGCAGACATTTCTGAATTTTCCGTAGATATATATCTTTAAATTGAATCTTTCGACAAAGCTCCAACATGACACTTCGAATGAGCGCGCGCTCGGAAAGACTTTACCACGCGTGAAATATAATATTAATGATATTCAGACTAATGGGGCGCCCCTGACTTTTGTAAATCGGTCAGAACTCCCCACAGATCAGTCAAATTTGAAAAAAATCGCTTGTTTCCATGGAAATAAGCGTCTAGACCAATCAGAACACTGGATTTCGACTTTTTGACTGACCGACTTTGCGTATGTCAGCTGCTCATTGACTTGACTAAGCTCGTCGGCTCAGCCACTGTATGAAATTTGATCACTGGACTACAGTTCAATTGGAATGTTAATTGCTAGCGCTGCATGATAATAGATACTGGACTATTATAAAGTGCCACTGCATGATAAAAAATAACTGGACTATTGGTCGAATATTTAATGCTTTAAGTTTGTAATTTTTACGTTAGTCGCGTGACTGGTTTGACGACCCCTAGATCCGCCCCTGTGTGTCGGCGAGTTTGACCAACATACAATGCACCACAGCATTGACACTTATACAAATACACAACATGCGATCTCAGTTCACAGGGAATTTTGTCCTTAAATGAAAAGAAGTTCGAAAGACGGAAAGAAGGACGAAAGACGACACGTAAGGAAATATGTGGATAAGCAGAAGAAAGAAATTTCTGAAGTTGTGATCGAATTTGCAAACCATGATCACCAGTGAAAGGAAGACAAAAATATATAATCTTTTTAGAGCAAGTATGAACTCTATCTCGAGAGTTATACATTTTATCAAGAAATGATTTGATACAACTATCAACAAGTGTTGCAGGATAACCATTAAGAGAGAACGTTTTCTTGAATTTTTCCATTTCAGAATGGAAAAATACATAAGAAGAGCAAATGTTGAAATAACGAGAAATAAGAGAGAAAAGTAAACCTTTCTTGTACAGCATTGGAATAAAACTGTCAAAATTGGTAAACAATCCGGTGGAAGTAGATTTATGATGAACCGTGGTAGCGAAAGAACCGTTAGATCGAATGACCTTGACATCTAGAAAAGGAAGGCACGAATTACTTTCAAGCTAAAGTAAATTACTTTCAAGTAAATTAAATGTTGCGATGTTTCGAGTTTAGATAGGAGAGGAAAGGAGTAACATGGTCACGTGATGTGAAAATAAGAAAACAATCATCAACATATCGACGGTAGAATATAGGCTTAAAAAGAGAAGGGCAGTCAGCTAACCAGAATTTCTCATGAAAAGATAGGAATATATTAGCAAACAATGGACCTAAGGGGGAACCCATTGCTACACCGTCAACCTGCTTGTATAGAACACCATCAAATAAAAAATGGCAATTCTTCACAGAAAGGTTTAAAAGATCTCTAAATTGATCGCGAAAGATGGCATGATAGTGTGTAGCACTAGCAAAGCATTTATTAATGATTATATCAATAGTTTCATCTAATGGAAAAACGTTAGCCAATAAATTTTATATTTTTGTTATGTCTTGTCTGAAAGTCATTTGCTGGGCTTTAATTTTCATTTTTAAATTACGCTTTCCACCCGGTGTATCAATCGCTGCTGTTCTTAGGGGGTGTTTATATATGGAGGGCGGCTACCCGAGCTAGCTCGCTTTGCCGAGATCTAACATTGCTATGTAATTTAATTTTATACTAACATTTATCTTGTGTTTAAATGGGAACCGAGCTGGCCTGCCTAGGTGAGATCTTGGAAAATAAAAATATATTTACTTATATTATACTATTTATAGCGGTAAGACCAGTGATTTGTTTTGGCAAGACAGCCCACCTCAAGGGTCTAATGTAAACATGGGATAAAATCAGCTCAGCAAAGAGAGCTAGCTCGGGTGCATGGGCTGGCTCACCTCCATATAAACACCCCATTAGAAGATTTCAAAGTTAAAATTAATTTTGAAATCTCTTCTGAGGGATAAAACCTTCAAAACTTTATTGTTGACAAAAATTTCAGGTAGACAGTATCCAGGAAAATTGCCTTTCAAATTGTAAGGCCAAAATTATGTACATAATTTCAGTAATAAATAAAATAAACAACTTTACCAATGAAAAGTGAGAGTCTTTATGGATATAGTGACAGTCTTTGCAATTTCACATCATGATGAGCCAAAAAAAACAAAAGTTGATGCAATAAAGAATAATAGATTAATTTCTAATTATTTACAAACATGTACCAGTACCTTTTGCATTTATATTATGAAAAAATATCTATATTTTTAATTCATTTCTGTATATTTTTCTCAGAAGAATGATAACAGACTGCGTAATACCGCGTGCAACCCCACTGCTAAGAGACTTGGACTAGTACAATAACTGTATATAACATGAAGTTTCCTGAACAAAATGGCGGAAATTTTAATAAAAAATGTTGATGTTTGATCGTAAAATACAAAAAAACTGCAGGTCTGTGCGAGTTACAACAACTGAATTTGTACTCAGTGTATCAAAATCTATAGATTTATGTAAACTAAAGTATTCCCCGAATGGGGGCAACGAAACTTGTTTTCTAAGCGACTTTTGGGGTCACAGAATACGGCCTATTCATTCTTGCTCGCATTTTTGCAAGATTTTGTAAATTTCAAAAGCTCTCTCAGAAAGAAACTGCGAAAGAATCGGCTAAAAGAAGGTAGCCGACGTTAACGAAGGTATAAGTTTGTTTTAAATATTAATTTTATAATGGCTTTAAAACCCGACGGCCTTTGCGTATATGAAACAACTAAACAAGACAGCATATAATTTCAGTGTATCCTTAATATTGATTCCCTTTTTTATGATATTGAATTTTTTAAATAAAAAAGAAAGCAAAGTTATTTGCAAGCGAGAATTTGAAATCATTTTATTGCAAACTGAAAGTTTATCGATAAAGCCGTTTTAAAAGACTGACAGATTAGTTTTATAAAGAACACTAGTGACTTTAAGACGTTTGGCGAAACGTTTGTGGTTGAATTTTACCTTAAATTGAGGCTTATATTACGTATAATAGCATACCTAACATATATATGTTGGGAAATTAATAATTTTGTAATTAAAAGTGATATTTTTAGGCGATTTTTCATTTGTAAGAAACTAAGAATATTCTTAAAAAATTATCGTGTTACCATGACAACTACTTTAGATACTTCATGTTCGGAAAATACAATGGTTTTGTCAGCAAGGCGAGGGTTTCTGCATGCATGTATTTTCTAGCATGTTCATATTATATTTTTATTTATTACGTCCAACATGTCTGTCAAATGTGTTTAAATATATATTTTGCCAAATACTTTGAATTACGTTTCCCACACGAGAACCGCAATGTTAGATATAACATTATATTTTTATACACATACAATAGTTGGCTAAAGTGTATGTAAGTAATAATAAAATATAGCAATGTAATATCTAATATAAGCATCCTACACCGAATGACAACCCGCGACCATCATACACCATCTGTACCATCTTCACCATCTGACAACCCTTCCCTGTATAACCACCCTACACCATCATACACCATCTGACAACCATCTGACACACTTCGATCATCATACACCACCATACACCATCTGACAACCATCTGACACATTTCGACCATCATACACCATCTGACAACCATCCGACACACTTCGACCATCATACACCATCTGTACCATCTTCACCATCAGACAACCCTTCCCTGTATAACCACCCTACACCATCATACACCATCCGACAACCATCTGACACACTTCGACCATCATACACCATCTGACAACCATCTGACACACTTCGACCATCATACACCATCTGTACCATCTTCACCATCTGACAACCCTTCCCTGTATAACCACCCTACACCATCATAC